AGAAGAAGTCTCTTAGATTTGTGACATCCCTTTTGCTGTTTAATGGTTATAGGAGTAGAGCTGGGGCTAGATGGACAGTTTAGCAACTGGCTGCTGCTTCTTGCCTTAACACATTTGAAAATGCACTTGTTCACCTGTGAACTTGTGAACTCTAATGTCTACCTGGAGGCGGAGGGGGGGGGGGTCAAGCTCAAGGCAATTCCACAAGAGGTAAAACTATATACCTTCTTTTGTTTGTTCTAGAGACGCATCCCTAAAGACTATCTTGCTTAACTCTACTTTCACTTTCTATCTTTCCAACAGAAAAATCCTTTACTCCACTGCCTCTCAATGCTTATTAACATTAGTTAGTAATTTGACATGTGAATTTTTGGCTTCGGTTTGACTCTAAACTCCCTGAGCCAGAGAGCATGCTCTTTGTTCCTGGTAGTCCTGACACTCCCATTCCCAGGCACCCACGTGGACATGTACCGACGTTTATACTGAGTAAGGACACAGGAGAGTTTCCTCCTCAACCTTCTCCTTCTTGCTGTAGACAAGAAACACTTCTTTACTACTAGGATAATCCGATGCCTTTATCCATGAAAAATAAGAAAGCATGTTGGTTTTTATCAGAAGCTGATCTTCCCTAGGCATCTCCAGGTGGCAACTAGTTGAACCCTTTTGACTGAAATTGCTAGTCTGGTAAGCTGAGTCATCAACTTGAACTGATGGATTCTCATGGTCCAAATGGTGACATGGGTTACATGCAGATACACTCTGATTTTGTGACTTCCTCTCAGTTTCCCAGCCATGATGACAACTCAGCTTTGATTCTTATGTTGAGAGTAATTTTCGAGCATTAACCAAGGTTTTCATTCACCACAGGCAGCAAAGGCAGTGAGTCTATAGTCTGGTAGTCTGGGAAAGGTAAAGTCACAGGACATTAAAAGAGAAAGAAGGAAAAATACTATGAATCCATGGACAAGCCAAAGAAAATGCCATATGATATGTGACTTTGCTTATCTGGCTAGGTGTGTCAGCTCTGAGCACTGGGAGCGTGGCACGGGAGTCTTGTTCAGGGACAGGAGTCATCTACACATTGAGTTATTTAAGGTTTAATAGGCCCTTTGGGTCTTTCCATCCAAAGACTATTGTCTTCTCCTAGCTGCTCTGTTATTGTGCCTCCTTAGGGCACTCAGTGCCACAGTGTCATGAAAATCTGATTTAACCACATCTTTGGACTTTGGTTACAACGTCTCATCCCTTCATTGTGCTCCTGAAATGGGGAACATTTATTGTGATTTTTAGAGGTAATTGATCATATCCCTACTCTCTCTCCTCCACATTCATTCCTCAGATGTTCAGAGTGAGGCCTCTCAGATCCCAAGGAGGGTGGATCAAGAAAAGAATGGAGGTCACTGCTCCTTGACCCCTCTCAGCACCCAAACCAAACACTGGAGAGCTTGGGAAAGTGCCTGGCATTTGCAGAACCCTCGATAAAGTGCTGAAACTCCTGCAGAATGAATGGGGTAGCCTCACATGGATACTCTTGCTGTGAGCATCTTAGATACTGCAAATGGAGTCTGACCCTGGTGTCCTTCCATCAGGACAATGACCACTTTGTTCAAAAGACACCAAGCCATAGCAAAGGGATGGTGGGTACTGCTTGGCCTTCTCATGGTTGCCCAGCACTAGATCTGCTTTTGTCTGAGCCACGCTTCTTGGATCTCCCTAATGGCTGCTGGTAGCACTCACCTCACTCTGTGCCTCTAACATGTGTAGGTCTTGTGTTCCTTTGATTCATGGACAACCGGGGAGTTTGTGTTTTACGTGTCACCCAAACAACTAAAGGACTGTACAGGGGGAGGTAAAAGAATCAGATCACATAGTCACATGAAGTCAAAACCAACTTACATCTTCCTCTAGCATTCTGATGGAATCCAATCTTCAGTGTCTTCTGAAAGGAAATTTACACAGGGGTGGAGAAGCAGTACGGGAAAGGAGCAGAAAGAAGAACAGTGCATTTCAATACAGCCTGTGTGAGCCGTGTCCACTCATACCAAGACCTGGCCTTGCTCCTATTTGATTTATTGCAATTCATCAGAGCAGTCAAAGTAGGTATGAAAATCTGCATTCCACCTGGTCTGGAATAAACTAGCCACTCGGGAGGTGGGCAGATCAAATGCTTTCATTCTGGTTCCATTTGGTCTTTGCTAGATCAATAGCAGAGACAGATATGGTATTGAGGTTATTCTCTTGATAATTCATTGATGACTTCTTCTGCTCTCCACCTCTGAAAATTAACTAAAAATGAAGAGGCTACCTTGGCCTTTCAAAAAAGCAACAATGGCACAGTGTTACAGGCAGGACTATGGATACAGACTGCCAGGGAGCAACCTTGGTTCCACTACCCACTAGCTTAGTGGCATTAGGCTGTCTTAACCTTGCACACCTCAGCCTCCTCAGCTATAGAAGTAAGATGGTAGCAACAACCGCGCCTGCCTCCGGTGTTGTGTGAGACTCAAGATAGATCATGCATGTAAAGCACTTAAAACAGTACCTGGCACCTGGTACCTACCAAGTTGTCATTGATATCACTATTACTGTTTTTTTACTGTTTGCAGTAGCCAGGATATGGAGAGAGCCTCGGTGTCCATCGATTGATGAGTGGATGGAGAAGGAGTGGTGCATGTATATGGTGGGATATTGCTCAGCCATAAAAAAGAATGGAATCTTGTCATCGGCAGCAACATGGATGGACCAGGAGGGTCTTGTACTGGGTGGAGTGGGTCAGCACAGGATTGGTGCCACAGGATTTCACTTATGTGTGGAATCTAGACAATGGAACAGACAAACAGGCAGAAAAGAAGCAAACTCGTGGATGCAGAGAACATTTCGATGAGAGGGGTTTGGGGGTGTAGGTGAAAAAAGCAGAAGGGATTAAGAAGTACAAATTGGTTGTTACAAAGTAGTATGGGGATGTAGGGTATAGCATAAGGAATATAGTCAATAATATTGTAATGATTATGTATGGTGTCAAGTGGGTACTAGATGTATTGGGGTGATCACTTCTTAAGCTATATAAATGTCTAGTCACTATGTTGTACACCTGAAACTAATATAATATTGTATGTCAACTGTAATTGAAAAATAAAACAATTATTAGAAAAATAAAAATAAAATATTAATTATTGTTTCTACTCTGATAACTTGCTGAAAGGACAATTAATTTTTTCCAGGAGATGAGATCTTGACATCACCTCCACAGGACACAGTGAGCCAGGGGAAGAGGGATTTGAAAGCCAAGATATGTGCATCTGGAGGAAAAGCATGAAAGTAAAGAAAAACTTTACCCAAGAAATAGGCTTAGAGAATCATCCAAAGAAAGCTGGTGTGCTGGTTGGCTTTACGTGTCCACTTGGCTAAGCTACAGTACCCAGTTATTTCATCAAATGTCAATAGAGGTGTTGCTGTGAAGGTATTTGTAAAATGTGGTTAACATCTACAGTCAGCTGACATTAAGTACTAAGTAAAGGAAATTACCGTCAAGAATGTGGGTGGGCCTCATCCAATCAGTTGAAGGTGTTAAGAGTGAAAACTGAGATTTTCTAGAGAAGAGGAAATCCTACCTTATGATTACAGGAAACTCTGTCTCCTGTCTGAGCTGCCAGCCTGCCAGCTTGCCTTATGAATTTTGGACTTACCAGTCCCCACAATTATAAATAACTCCTATTGGTTCATTTCTCGGGAGAACCCTGGTCGATACAGTTGGGAAGCAGGACCTGCTCAGAAGAGGGAGAGTAATGTGAGGACAGTGTGCCAAGGAAAAAGGGGAAAGGATTCAAGGGCATTCCTATCACTGGTGCCAGAAATGACGGACATGCTAAATCGAGGAGAGTAACTAGGACACAACACAGGTCTGGGACACAATGTCAATAAAGAAGAGTGTGTTTGCCTCGGGAACCACGGTGGCTGACAGCCATCAGTTGGACCTCAGTGGGAACCATGGTAGACGCAACACTGACCGGCAGTGCTCACCGGATGTGCTTTCCACTTCCCAGAGCTGTCCCCGTGTTTTCTTGTTTGGTTCCCACCCCGACCCTGCAAGTTGGCAAGGGCAAGGGTTAATGTGCCCATTTCACAGATCAGGAAAGAAAGAGCCACGAGGCTGGGGGCTCACGGATACAACAGGGAGGTTTCACCTTGAAGAGACGGGATGGTGTTCTGAGTCCATTTAAGCTGAGGCCCATCAGGAGACTGGGGTCAGCCTCTTCTGCGTCCCCCCTCTGGCTGAGATGGCTCCCACCACAGGTAAAGACATCCTGCATGGTAGAAGTTATCTACTTGAGAACAGTCCTGAAGAGAGGCGCTGGGGATGAGGAGATGTCTCACAGGAGAACTAAAGGGAAAAGGCTTTGGAGCACAGAGTCTTTTCAAGGGGACGTTGAATGGCGGCAACAAAAGTTACCCATCGGCAAAAACAGCTGGGGAGCCATCTGTCCGGGAGAAGCCTCAGGCCTGTGTCGTTCGTTACCCCCCTTCTTGCATTGTGAGAGGCCTGGCCGCTGATGGGAGGCGGTTTATAGCAGAGGGAACAGAAGGAAACCAGTTGGCCCTTGTATAACCTTGGCCTCATTAGCATCCAACCAAAGCCCACTGCGCTATTGACTTCTAGTAAATATCCACCCACCAAGAAGATTTCCCCCAGCCGGGCCTCAGGGGTGTTCAGACTCCAGACAGGGCCTTCGTGCTCTTCCATGCCCGGCTTTGTCATCCAGGACTCCTCCCCGCCCACAACCATCCGGAGCTCAGAAACCACTCCATCTTCCTTCCGGGAGGGGAAAGTGGGGGGAAGGAAGGAAACCCCTGTGGTCACCTCTCTGAAAGTCTCCCATTCTCTCGCGCCAAAGGGCCAAACAAATAAACCTTAGAAAGGTGATTCAGCAAGTGAAGTGTACACAATTATATTTCCAACTGCTTTGAAAACTTTTATTTCTGTACAGCAAATGACACGTTATCTTTCCGGAGGTCAGGGAATAATGCAGTCGGATTCTTGCGACATTGTGAGAGTTAATGTTTCTATTTGCCATTGTATCCTGTGCAAAGAAAGGCAGCCGGTCACCTGGGGTTACCACAACACAGCACGGAGATGGTGGAATCCACCAGAAGTGCTTTGATAGCATTGGACACTATTGTGCAGACGGGCTCCTTCCTGGCCTGTGCAGCATAATGGGGCTCTGAGTGCTAAGGAGATAAACGATAGTATCCTTGCAGTGTCAGAGGTAGAACTCTCCAGAAGCTGCATTCATAATTTCCTCGAATGTAAGGACTTTGATTTGTTAATAGTCATTGAAACATATAATTCAATAGAAGTGTCACTCTAATATAATAATTGCCAAGGAAATTGAACCACAAAGAAGTGCCATAAATTGCAATTTACCTTCATTAGAGTACTTAGAGCTGGTAATGTTTTCTCATCAAGAAAGCCCCCACCCCCCACCCCCATAGCTTTCCTTCCATCTTTCGAAATATTCGTCCTCACTTACACTGCCCTTTTCAGCAATACTTTCGCGTCTTCTTAGATTTCCAATTGGTGTATTTGGCCCCTCTTAAAACACCGATCATCGCAAAGTGTTTACATTAATTGTGCTGGCGAAAGCTTCCTCCGGTAAACTTCAGCTAAACTCTTTCATTGTCAAATGTCAGCTTCCTTCCATTCTACCTAGAACATTTTCTTTGCTTTTGTGGGTTTAAGCGCTATAATGGCACTTTGTATATTTAAAGGAGAGTGTGAGTATCCATTGTCGTTACTGTGATTCTGCACATTTTCTTAAAATGAAACAATCTTTACACGGATTGTATGTTCATGCCACTGACATAATTCAGGACTTAGAGTAGAACAAAACGAGAAGCCATCGCTCCCGCCTCAGGAGGTCTTGCTTGGAACCATCTGGATTGTTATTATCATTATTATTTATGATTGTTCATAGAAAGTGGAGCACTTCACCCAACACTATGCAAAGGCACAACCTGCTCACTGTTTACCCCAAGCCCACAGTCCCTAAGCCGCATGGTTCCCCTTTCACTTGCTCTGGTTCCTGACCCATTGTCATAACCACTCTCCCTTCCTTCCACTCACCTGCCCCGATTTACTTCCAGGGAACATCCGGTGTGAGACTGACCCAGGGCAGGAGACCACTTGGAACTTGAACATGCACGTCTGGAAAAGAAAGCATGTGAGACTGAGAACTCAACAGCGCCTTCATTCCCAGGCATCCCAGGAACAAGTTTTAGATTCAATGAGGGAGGAAAACAGAGGGAAGAGATCAAGAGACTAAGCGACAAAGAAAGAACTGGGGAGTGAATTAAAGAAAGGAAGGGAGAGAAGCACTAGGGAAGAAAACAAGGGAGGCTAACCATGTACCTTCTGGACAAAGTCTGTGACCTGGAGCTAAGCCTGTGTGTGGGAGGTCGGGGTGGGGGTGGGGGGAACAGTGAGATACAAAGTATGTGCCCGTTATGACCATAACTATAGAAAATCTATATTCATAAAGACAGAATGGGAATAGAATTTGCCAAGATGAAAATAGATATATGTTAGGTTGGCAGGATCCTAAGTAATAATTTCTCTATTTTCTAGACTTGCAATTATGCACCATCTTTACAACAGAAAAGTGGAAGAAATGAGGTGTTGGTGAGTGGTGGAGGGTGCAGAGGCCAAAACATAGTTGCCCCTTCCAAGCCCATCCCACCTCCAATCCCAGTGGGTGTTGGGTTGGAGTCCACAGCCTGGGAGCAGGGAAAGATGTCTGAAGCGCCACCCTCAGGTTGGCGTTTTCTGCTGTCTCCACATATAGCCCACTGACCCTAAAGGGTGAGCGAAGAAAAATGGAAACCAGTGAAGAGCTTTATGTAGGGATGTACTGATCCCAAAGGTCCTGTTTAGAATTCCTTGTAAGTCAAGTATTGCAGAAATAGCCCATGACAGCTCTTAAGTGGCTTCTCCTGGATGTTTGAATTCAACTTTTTTTTCATTGAAATTTTTT